CTTTATTACTTTTATTGCAAGCCAGACTTTTCCCTTCAAATAAACATTCCTTTGGTCTATAATTAAAAAAATACATAAGACACCGAAAAATGTGCTTGAAGAAGTTTTCTATTTCTTGTTCATTCAATATTTGGTTTACTCATTTTTCTTAAACCTTAGACATGAGTAATCTAAGTTGAATTGAATCAAAGCTAAACTTTTATTTATTCTTTTTTCTTATCGGACACTTCCAAACCTGCCCCTCCTCTCTCTCTCTCTCTCTTTCTGTTTCATGTGAATTGGTCTAACTTTTGTGCTGTCATGCAACTACTATTTACACACACACACACACACTCTCACACAGAGACAGAGAGGAGAGATACTTGAAGCAGTCGTTTTTTGTTTCTGGATTCTGTGAAAATATCAGCGAAAAGGTGTTACATTTCCTTTTTATCACTAAAAGCCTTTGCAAATATAACTACAGTCAATGCTCGATAGCATGAACCATATATATTGACAGACAGAGATGCAAATTTGCCATGAGTCAAATGAATATTTTAGTTAATTTCCTAGAAATTCTTTTACTGTGCTCAAAAACTTTGACAGCAAATTCTATTCATCGCCTCTCTTGATTGTTTACTGTAGTACAGCATTACCGTAGTAGTTCATTTGGTCATGTGTAAACTGAAAGTGTGTCGTCCGACGCTTGCGGTTTTGAGATTTTTGGGTCAATTTATTTGTTTTACTTTGATAACAAAAACAAAAACAGAAACAGAAACAGAAATAGAAACAACGCCAAGAAAGTTAAACAAAACAACAATCAACACTGCAGATCGAATGCGTTGAGCTATTCTGCTACTAAACTCAGTCCTACTACTATTGCTGCTGCTACTGCTGCTGCTATTTATGCTTCTACTTCTGCTACTCTTTCTGCTGTGTCGCCCTGTTTTGCCTAATTTCCTGCTACGCTTTGAATTACCCACAAATTCCCACGGGCTGTTTGTTTTGTACTTGTTTTCGAGCAACATAAAATACCGAAAAACAGACGAAACAGAAAAAAAAACCGAATCAAGTAAAAACAACATAAAGCGAAGCAGAATAAGTGGAAGACAAAATATATATGCATGCCAAGAGGGCTTGGGTGATTGGGAAGGGGAGAACATGCAGAAGACAGAACTTACCCGCGTAACATGAGCAGCTGTCCAAACTAAATGCAGCAATGCCGAGCAGTAGCAGCGACATTAACAGAGGCGGCGGCGTCGACAGCGGCAGCATTTTGAGCCAAGCTACTGCCGCTCTGGCTCCGGCTCCGGCTTCGTCTCTTCTAGCTCTTGCCGTTCCCGTTGCTGCTGTTGTTGTTGTTGTTGTAGATGATGATTTTTTCATTCTTCGTTTTGGTGGTGGCGATGGTGCTGCTGCTGCTGTTTTTTTGTTGACGCGCCGCAGCGACGACGCCAACGATCGCTGCTGCATTTGCGGCAGTTGTTGTTGCTCTTCCTCTTGCTTTTCTTTTTCTGGCTGTTGTTGTTGTGGCCTGTCGTCTGTCACGTTAAGCCTCGACGTTGCGCTTGAGCTTGTTTTAATTTTCAGTTTTACTTTTAATATCAATGTTTTTGTTGTTATTATTATGTTTTGGTATTTATTTTGAATATTCCGCAAGAGTTTTGCTTCGCTATTTATTTTCTATTACTAAATTGTCAATTTAATTTATTAAACATTTTCTCAAACATTTTGTTGGTGCCTGCAATGGACAACATCAAACGGGGCGTGTGAGTTAAAGAGGCGGGTAGAAACAAACACACACAGGCACACACACACATTCATGCATTCTTCATACATTAAGAAGATGATGAGCAATAGAACGCAAAGTAAAACAAATGCTAACGTCACTTTGATCTGCCACTGCGCTTTGTGCTGTCGTTCGCATAAAATACCACTCACTCACTCATTCGCTCGCTCTCTCACGCTCACGCACACCTGCCGCAGGTAGAAAAGCGAGCAAAAGAGAGCGAGAGCGCAAGCGGAGAGCGCCGTGTGAGCGAGGCCCATAAACGATCAGCGCGCCAAGCCAAAGCCAAAGCCAGCGGCGGCAGCAGCTGCGGCAGCGCAGTCAGCGTTTGTTTAATGGRAGTTCTTCTTCTTCTTTATATGCTGCTGCTGTTGTTTCTGCTGTTGCTGTGGCTTTTTGTGAACCCTTTTCTTTTGGCTCTGTTTGTGGACTGGTTGCAAGAACTCGTTTTTATATGCAATTCTTTCGTTTTAGCTTTGCTCGCTCCCACACACACATCAACAGACAAACACCCATATCCACACACACGCACACACTTATTTAAAATTCGTATAGGAATGTAAATAAATTGATATCCATTGTTAATAATTATAAATAACATTTGTTTTCTTATCGACGCGGCAGCATTGCGTTTATTGCACATGCGTTTTCATTTCATTTCATACAAATATTCATGCATGCACGCTCACACACACAAGCACTCGAAACAGAAAAAAAAGAACAACAAAAATATTGAAAGATCATTGCGCGCTCTGCCCGCTGAACGCTGCCGATCGACGCGCCAGCAGCAAAGATATACAGCACACCAAAAGACATACAACGTTTTTACCAGCTACGCTTTGGCTGTGTTTTCGCACGAACTCTACGACTATGCCAACGACGACGGCGGCGACGGCAATAACGACGGCGACGACGACGACGATGACATACGGCAATCACTACCGTCCGGAACGCGCGCACAAAACAAACTGAAACCACTGCTCGCAGCAAAACAAAACCAGCAGCAAACCAGCAGCGAAGCAGCAGCGCGGCAGCAGCAACAGCAGCACCAAAAGTTGTTGAGTGGGTTTTTCTTAACAGAAAACTGTTAATGTGCTGTGCCATGTGAACTTCACTTGCGCAACGTTTGCACTCAAATTAACTGTTATGTCTCTGCCAGAGCGCACTCAATGTTAATGTTAGCTCAAAATGGCACTGTTAGCTTACGAATGCACAGTGGCTCCCAGTTCGATGGCGCTGGCATGAATATCAAATGCACTCAAGTTGCCAACCAACATTACTGATATTATACATGAATTTAACTGTTAGTCCCTGCGCATAGACTTTGTATATTTCTCTCTTGTAAATCTATATTGAAATTAGAGCCAATTTATAGACTCTGTGAGTAGGTTTTTGTTTGTAGCAGCTGACAATTGAGCTCGCACCACTGTCGCGCAACAGATGCTGTCTCGAATATTGCACTCAAATGGCGTACGCAAAGTGCTCAACTCAAACACGCTTACAAATTTGAGCGCTAAATGACAGTTAATTTCAAAAAGTATATGCAAACTGCAAATGCAAAATGTATGTAAAAAGCCAAAAAAAATTAAATTAAATTTCATTAAATGCAACAATATCAAAGTTTTTGGCATGTTTTCACGAAACTGCAAGCATGCGCTTAATTCAATTTACAATGATTACACTCAAACAATGGTAAAGGCGAAGTACAAATATTTTCCAATTTGATAAATTTGAGAGAAATTGTTCATAATTAAGTTGATCATAATTACGTTTCTATTCAATTGTTTTTCGCATGTGCAATATATGCGATTATACATAAAGTGATTATAATTTTTTTTTTTTTTTAGGTTTTTGAAATTTCTTTCAACGAATTCTATATGGAAATACAAATAATTTATGAGTTCTTTGTGCGGCTGCATGTGTGTGCGTGCGTGTATGTGTGTGCTTATGTGTGTGTGTGTGCATGCATTCATTTCAAAATGCACTTAAAAATTGCTGTCACGTGTGTGTGTGTGTGTGTGTGTGTGTGTGTGTGTGTGTGTGTGTGTGTAAGTGTGTGTATGTCGCGGCTTTTGCTAGAGGTCAGGTCAACTTCGTCGCCTGCCAATTAAAACTTTTTATGCGCTGCGGCCATACACAGACGCCGCACACATACATATATACATATAAGCATGCACATAAATTATTTGTATATGTAAGAGTGTGCGTGTGTGTGTGGCTGAGTATTGTAGCGCGCTTCAAGTAACTTTATTAATGCGATTTCAGTTAATTAACAACACAATTACACGCGCAACACACACACACACACACACACACACACACACACTTACACGCACGCAGACAGTGCTTAAAAATAATTTGCAAATAAGATAGAATATAATTATGTAGAAATAAAAAATACATACAGTGCGTGCGGGGAAGAGTTGTTGTTGTTTTTTTTTTTTTCAGTATGCTGATCAGAGTATGTAAAATAAAACGAAGATTAACATTTGCTGTAACTTTGCACGCACGCTCACACGCACACGCACGCCCACATTGCTATAATTAGCATTGGCATCTGCATGCAGCGTGCGACTTGAGTTTATACTCAATGCGAGCGCCGTTCACTGTTAACAAAGCGGAACACAGCACAGCACAGCAGAGCAGAGCAGAGCAACGAGCACGAGCACTGCTGAGCATGCCAAACGAGCACTCGTGCTACCTAACGGTACCCACGCATCGCTTTGTTTTGAGTTCGTTTTTGTCGTCGCGCAACAAGTTGGCAAACGACTGCGCCTGCCTGTCTGTCTGTCTATCTGTGTGTGTGTGTGTGTGAGTTTGTGTGTGCTTCGCCGAGCAAATCAAAAATACCAGCATAAAAGCTGGCGGAAAAAAGCGTTGCCTACCTTTGGGAGCATCGTAAATAAACGAATTTTGCTCAAAGAGCCCCAATGAAACGATGTTATCTGCATACAAAATGTTCTGCCATAAGAAAAAAGAAATTCGAAAACCAATGCTGCTACCTTTACTCGCCATTCGTAGCTTGAAAGAGTCTATTTGTCATTATCAGAGCACTGCAAATTGATTAACTCCTTGTTGACTCAACCAGGTTCGCTTCGCTTTTGATCTAGACAAGAGAGATATAGAGAGGGAGAAAGAGAGAAAAAAAAAAGAGAGTGTGCTCACTCAATGCTTATATAAAGTGAATTCTTCGATATGCACTTTAAATAATCTTTTGTTTAGTATTTAATTTTTTTAAATATTCTGAAACTGAAAATATTGAAAAAGTATTTTTTTTTTTTTTTTTTTGTTTGGATATACAACAAGTTTTCTTCGGACTATGCTTAATGACTTTGAAAAACTACCAGAAATTTTCAGCTGTATGGCAAAAAGAGTGACAAAGGTGACGGGCTGGGGCATGGATTGGGGCTATACTCTGTTAGCCTGCTCTGCTTTGGTAGTAGTGGAAAAAATGCTTTGACATTGCAGCTTCATACTGAACCTTTTGAATTCACTGGCACACACACACATACATATATATCAATGTTCCAAAATACCTTGAATGATTTCAATGGCTTAAGCCAACTGAATACCTGTGCACGGGATCAGCAGCTGCAATCAGAGAGCGGCGAGCTATGGGTCTCTTCATTAATGAAACTGTCCTCGGGCTAATGAGTGTGAAAGGAGTAAAGCTTACACCACACACAGGTAAAGATACACACACACACACACGCAGGCACATCTGTCATGCAAATGCATTGCATCAAGGGGTCTCTTTGGCTACACCGTTATAACTGTGATTGTTTGCTAAATTCACACCTAACCCGCATCGAGCATTGAATTGATTTCGAAACGGACTTTGTAAATTATGCTCGAGCACAAAGCAGCTGACATTTTTCCTCCCATTTATTTATTTTTTTTTTGCTCCTCTTTTGTACTCATTCATGAAAATGAGAGGAGTATATTGGTTTTGTTTAATTGAAGCTAGAAACTTGAAATTTGTAACGTATTTTTATATATCCTTCAATACCCAATAGCCTTCCACTTATTAGGGGCGTGGCAAATCGCTAAAATCATATTCCGATATCTCAAAAACCATGGGAATTGAAATGCAAGAGTTGAAATTTAGAATTCAGAAAGCTCAAAGAGATATATCTACGCCCATTGTAGGCGTGGCAAATAAAAATAGAAAAATAACTAGAAAGTCAATTACTGTTAACATCTTCTATTGACTTGTACAAAAACATCATACATACATACATATATGTATATACATATATATGTATTCCGATTGTGGGCGTGGCAAATTGTAAAATGGATATGGCAGCATTTTTACCCAGCAATGAGTGTTCTGCAGTTGGTAATGCCCGTTTGCAGTGTTCTTCTTACTTGTGTCGTCTATTGATACGGCACACTGTGCGTATACGTAATGCGTTATCATGTCGCATTCGAGCAATATCTATTTGTGGCTGTACGTGACCATGGTTATGCGGCAGAGCTGAAGGTGTTATCCAACACTCGCTGCAGCTCTGCACCTCCCGCCTTTTCACACAAATCAACGGCAATTGAAACGGCTAAGCAACAAAAAAAAAAAAAACAAAAAAAAAAAATCTCAAGAGAGCAACTGAGCATTGAGACATTTAGCAAATCGCCAATAATCCATTATGTGTCAGTCGAACAGCGTCGAATACAAATCTGGGCGAGTTCAAGGAGCATATCTGATGGTTCGATAGTAAAATTCTGGATTCTGGATTTTTTTATAATCTAAATTGGTTCCAATTTTTAGAAGCTGTTTTGTCTTTGTCTTTTACTTTGTCGCTTTTGTTTTTTCATATAATTTATATACGTATATAGCTATATTAATTATTTA